AAAAAAAAAAAAAAAAAAAAAAAAAAAAAAAAAAAAAAAAAAAAAAAAAAAAAAAAAAAAAGAACAGAGTAACTAAAGAGGAAGAAAAAACTAAAAACAAACAAACAAAAAACCCCAAGAATGCCATAGAATCTCAGGAGAGCATTTCAAGCTAAAGGTAATAAATAGGCACTGTGTTGGATTTTGCACTGTTGAAAACCAAGGACCAGAAAGTCTCTATTATATTTAGCAACAGGGAGTTTGGTGACCTCAGTGAAAGTAGCTTGATGGAGAAACAGAGGCAGAGGCAGACTGCAATTAGTAAAAAAGTGAATGGAAGGTAAGGAAGTGATACAGATAATCTTGCCAGAAGTTTGGCTATTTAAAGTAAGAGAGAAACAAGGCCAACTACAGAGTGGAATATGGTTGATGGAGGAATTTTAAATCCAAAAATGAGGGGCGCCTGGATGGCTCAATCGGTTAAGCGTCTGACTTCAGCTCAGGTCATGATCACACGGTTCGTGGGTTCGAACCCTGCATTGGGCTCTGTGCTGATGGCTAGCTCAGAGCCTGGAGCCTGTTTCAGATTCTATGTCTCCCTCTCTCTGCTCACTCTGTCTTTCTCATCTCTCTCAGAAAAATAAAACATTAAAAACATTTTAATCCAAAAATGAAAAGAGTTTTATGTTTTTCTAATTATAAAAATAGTATGTTTATTATAAATAATTTCAGGCAATGAAGAACAATAAGCAAAATAAAACATGAAAATAACCCAGAAATAATCATTGCTGTCATTTTGATGCAACATTCCTATACTTCTTTCAGTATATATTATATGTACCTAAGCTTCTTTTTCCAGTTTAATACACATACACATATCTCCATGGCAATGAATATTACAGTTATATTAAAATCATGATCTTCATAGTAAGAGCATATCAAAATGTTTTTGATCAATTCCCAAATGATGTCATTTAAATTGTTTCCAGTTTGTTGCTGTTATATCAACAGTGCTCCCAGAGGCATTTGTGTGAGATGAAATATTTACACATTGGTCTGATTGTTTCTTTAGAATAAAATCCAGGAAGTAGAATGGGTTGACAGTAGAAAGGGGATGATTGGTAAATCAAGGTTTCAGTAGAAGACACATCCAAACCACAGATGGAGTTAGCCCTAGACTCCAGAAGGGGCACCTTTTGCACACTTTCCCCCCTGGGAGAAGAGGAGTAGAGGAAATTGACTGGTGGAGTAGAGGAAATTGACTGGTGGTGCCACAGTTATGTTTGTAAGTAGAGAGGCAGGAAATCATCTGCTGAAAGTGAAAGCAGTGGTCACCATGTAGAGATCCTTAGGAGACAGGAGGAGGTTTAGAATCACAGCTCTGGACCACGGAGGAGGGCAGAGCTGTAACAGAAAGGAAGTATTGACAATCGGTGAACTGGGAATGTACCAGTTTGTACATTTGTATAATTGCTTGGCGGCAACCCTCAGCAGCCAGGCTTGGGGCTTTGTAGTAGAAGGACACATAAATTCAGGACTTAAGATACTGGCAAAAGGTAGATAAAATGATGAGTTATAAGGTCCAGGTTTCATAGAGAAAAAAGGGAAGACAGGAAGAGGTTAGACAGGGAGAAAATGTTAAGAGTCAGGAGGATTCTGAAATAGAGGAAAAGCTTAAGAAGGCTAAAAGGATGGGAGATTGTGGTTTGGAAATAGGATATTTGAATTTAAGACTATAGAAAGAGGGGCACCTGGGTGGCTCAGTCAGTTAAGAGTCCGACTTCGGCTCAGGTCATGATCTCACGGTTCGTGAGTTCAAGTCCCATGTCAGGTTCTTGTGCTGACAGCTCAGAGCTTGGAGCCTGCTTTGGCTCTGTGTCTCCCTCTATCTCTGCCCCTCCCCATCCACGCTCTGTCTCTTTCTCTCAAAAATAAATAAACTTAGGAAAAAAATGACTGTAGAAGTAGAGTAGTGATAACAAGGTGCTAAGAAGAATCAGGGTGCATGCTTGGAAGTGGGTTAAAAAATACTGTGCAACTTTGTCCTAGCATCTTCTACACCAGAAGATTAAGATTAGTAGTTATTGAAAACTGAAATATGTAATATGCTTATTTGTAATTTGGTGAGAAAAAAAAAAATTCTTTAATGAGATTTAATGTGCATTGTAGAAAACCTGGAATCAGATTACTTTGGCAAGCTGGAACCTAAAGTCTCAACCATACGAAACTTGAACGACCAAGTTCTCTTCATTAACCAGGGAAATCAACCTATATTTGAGGAGATGTCTGATTCTGACTGCACAGGTATTTTTTTTTTTTTTACAAATAGTTTATTGTCAAGTTGGTTTCCATATAACACCCAGTGCTCATCCCCACAAGTGCCCTCCTCCATGCCCATCTCCCCCCTCCCCCCCACACTCATCAGTCCTCAGTTTGTTCTCAGCATTCAAGTTTTTTTAAATATATATTTGTAACATAAAAATTACAAGCTTATTTCTTCCCATTCCATTTAACTGTCTATATTTTTCTAGAATAGACCTACTCCTCAGATGAAAAAATCATAGGAGTAGTAATAATTTCACACACAAGAAACTTGATAAGGCATCCACATTTTTTTAGTTGGGGTGAAAAACTAATGCAACAAAGATATTGCTAGGGGTCAAGCTACTCTGAGCCTATATGTGGGTCACCAATCCCTTCACTATAATGGCACTAACTGTGTAGGATCTCCATTTGGACCCTTAATACGTAGCTGAAATTGCCAATGGCATTTTCGAAACTCCAAATCAAAAAATAAATACACAAACATTTTGAGTAAGTCTGTCTTTCGCCAGAAATTTAGAATGCCTTACAAAAGGAATCCGTTTACTGCTCCTTCCAAGGTTTGAATTCCAAATATCAGAGCTTAGGCAGAGTTGAAACAGTGAATGTGCACTTTGGGGGGAAAAAAACTATATGTTTACCTTAACAGATAGATATTAAATATTCTATTTAACATTTAAAGGTTAAAAAAATCTTTTAGAATTCATAGTGTCTCTAAAACATTCAAAAATTTGCCGCATTTGTGTTATAATACATATTATGAATGTGTTTTAAAGAAGGTGAGAGTGCCCATGTAAAGTTTCCTGCTCACTGGCTGAATCTCAGAGGACAGAAATGGTGATGGGTCTGTTAAAGATTATCCTTAGGCTAATTTCCATAAATAGTGCTTTGCAGAAATTCTTCTAATGTTCTTATTTATTAATGTTTATTTCAGATAATGCATCCCAGACTAAATTTATGATATATATGTATAAAGATAGCCTCACTAGAGGACTGGCAGTAACCATCTGTGTGGCATGTCAGACCGTCTCTACTCTCTCCTGTGAAAACAAAACTATTTCCTTTAAGGTAAGACTGAGCCTTTATTTGTTTTAGTCATATTTATGTGCAAAATTTAAAAACCCAAATATCTTAAGTCCTATTTTTTTTCAAAGTTTATTTATTTATTTTGAGAGAGAGAGAGAGAGTGGGGGAGAGAGGGGGCAGAGAGAGAGAGAATCCCAAGTAGGCTCTGCACTGTCAGTGCAGAGCCCAGCACGGGGCTCGATCTCACAAACCATGAGATCATGACCTGAGCCAAAACCAAGAGTTGGACACTTAACCATGTGAGCCACCCAGGTGCCCCAGGATTATATTTTAATGTGGCTTTTTCCCCCTTCCCAAGTTGCCCCTTGGCATGTCCACTAAGGTTATACTCTAACTTTCAGTAGGACTGGGTGATCTTGACAGCGGTTCTTTATTGGCAAATTCCCAAGTAGCAACTCTTTCACGACATGGGATTCACCTTTCAAACACTGTCAATTGGTGAGCATCCCCTGGCTGCTCTCATTGGGAGGAAAGTTTTCTGGGTCAGTCTGTAGCTATTATAGTTAATGGTTGTATATCTGATAATAAGGGAACTAGGCAAATCCAGGTATAGGGGAGACTGAAGCTTATACAATTTGGGCAGCCCTTTAAAAAAAAGAGAATATAAAATCACCAAAGGCATAAAGTTGATGGTTTATTTAGAATAAGAAGGGGCCTTAAAAGAGACCTGTATAAGTGAAGGGCTCTGACATTTAAGCTTCATAGCAAATGTGTTTCTGGAAGGACTCAGGCAAGGGGCAGGAAGAGGGAAAGGAAGGGGTTAGGACCAGTTTTAGTTCATGATCTTTAATCCCATTCTCTACTCATTAATAAGGATCTTAGCAGTGATTATAAATATAGCCTAAGCTCTAGATAATAAGGCACAACTGCTGCCATTGTGCTCACCTCTCTGGGTTGGTTACTAGCTATAAAGTCCTAGTGCTTCCGGTGACCCCTGTTTTCCTTCGGGCAAGAACCTTCATGACACTAAGAGGGATTTGTTTCAAGAGCAAAGGATTATTAATGTCAGTGTCTGTTTCTTGCATATACATCCAAGTATGGTCAGGTTTCTTTCAGACTTACTAAAGCAATTGGGAGAGGACCAAAATAAGAGATGTTAGGTCAAGCTTGCCTCTCCCTGGGTTCAGATTCAACTCCTCCTGATGTAATGATGTAAAGAATACCTTAGGCCCTCGGAGCCCTCAAGTTTCACCCAGTAGGGCTTTCTAAGTTGAGCATTCCCCAAGGTCACTGGGATTGTCTCCACATCCATTTGTTGTGCATCTTCCCAATAAGGGCTACAAATAGTAAATACTAAAACTAAAGAAAGCTACTACCCCAAGATTTTCTTGCCTGTGTTCTGAAATATGACCTTGAACTAGTTAGAGATCACATAGTCCACCTATCCACATCTCCACCTTCAACTGTAACTTTCTACACTAGGTTTGAACTAAAAGGTTTCTCTGTCTTTAATATTTCTACAGTTTTTGAAGTTTTAGCTAAGGATTATTTATCACTTATACATTAGACATTAGATTAGTCCCAAATTGGCTCCCCCAGGTTGGGGCTCTTCCTACATTCTGGTATACTATAGGCAGCCTCAGAAATATGTGCCAGTGGGTGAACTAGTTTATACTGTCATCAATTCAAGACTGTTACCTGTTGATAAAGGAAAAAGGTCAAGAGTTATGACTATAAATTCCATAATTGATTGAGAAGTTTGGAGGTACCCCCAGATTCTTTCAGGCCTCTTGAGAGGATGCTAGAATACTATTTTGGGTCTGGAGGTCTCTCCATCAATCCTTAGAGAGGATCATGCTCATCTTTGCTAGCAGGAGGTCAAAATTAAGTTCAAAATGTCTGCTGGCACCAGGATTGATATGGAAAGAACATTGGGTGGTCCTCACATTTTCTAATCCATTCTGAAAAGTAGGTATGATGTAATAATAGGAAAAGTGCAGGCAGTACTGTCACCTCAGTGACTAGCAGGATTACGGTTCAAGTAATCTAGCTATTCTTGAGAAAACCTTCTTCTGGGGCTGAAAGATATAAGAATCAGCATTTGGCCTTCAGTGAAGGACCCAGCCAATTTCAGGATAGAATGTGAGGAACCACTATGGAATTGGAGTGCTTGACAGAGAAAAAGTGCTAACTAAGCGAATAAGCAGGGCTATCCTGGAACCTAGGACCTAGCCCTAGTACAAGTAGTGGGTCTACTTATAGCAAGTTTCAGTCCCAGGCTCCACTGAAGGAGGGAAGAATCTGGGATGCCTGCACTTTCTGCCTCTTTCACACTAGGCTTATAAACAAGAGCTAGCCTATGCCTAGGAGTGGAGGTCATCAATGTCTTTAGCTGTGAATGGTTGAAGAAGACAGGAATTGACATGAGTCCAAAAAGGTTATGGTCTGTGCTAGAACTCTGCTTCATCTTGACCAGATATGGACTCCACTCAGGGGAGAGGAGAAAAGGAAGCTATCTAACAGTTAAATTGGGAGAAACTAGAGGCTTAAACCTGAATGTGCGCTGAATGGTGGGAAAAGGCAGATTAAATAGGGAGAACAGATTAGGAATTAAGAGGGAGAGGAAATCAATAGTCTTATATTCAGAGGTTTGTTTGTTTGTTTGTTTGTTTTCTTAATTGGTAAGAAGAAACACTTCTTTAGTTCTGTGCAGTAATGTACTTCAAAATAAATCACACATATTCAAATTGTTCATGTTCTTAAAAAATTAAGTATTTTTTTTCTCTGTAGGAAATGAAGCCTCCTGATAGTATCAATGATGAAGGAAATGACATCATATTCTTTCAGAGAAGTGTTCCAGGACATGATGATAAGATACAATTTGAGTCTTCACTGTACAAAGGGTACTTTCTAGCTTGTAAAAAAGAGAACGATCTTTTCAAACTCATCTTGAAAAAAAAGGATGAAAATGGGGATAAGTCCATAATGTTCACTGTTCAAAATAAGAGCTAGATTAAACTTGCATAATTTGATCTTTCGGATTTTTTGTCTTTCAGAAAGGTTTTAAGACTTTGTATCTATAATTGTAATAATGAAATAAAATGGATAGTTGTCTTAAAAAATACTACGAATGAATAATAAGATTTCACAAAATTGAGTTGACTCTTTCTTATCCAGATGAATAAAATATTTGCATAACATTAAGAGAATGCATAGTTTCAAAACACATTCTGCGGGGCGCCTGGGTGGCTCAGTTGGTTGAGCGTCCGACTTCGGCTCAGGTCATGATCTCACAGTTCATGGGTTCGAGTCCCGCATTGGCCTCTGTGCTGACAGCTAGCTCAGAGCCTGGAACCTGTTTCAGATTCTGTGTCTCCCTCTCTCTCTGACCCTCCCCTGCTCATGCTGTCTTTCTCTCTCTCTCTCAGAAATAAAAAAGAAATATTAAAAAATTAAAGAAAACACATTCTGCATTGTTAATTGGAACATAGATTATACTCAGTAGACATGCTTTAAAACATTTGGGTTACTGGTCCTAATGATGAAAGATACTGATAACTTAAACTTTCTAATTTTTTAAGAATATCATTAAAACCATCAAGATTTTGTAGAGATAACTTCACTTGACTAATTTCTGCATTTCTTCCAAAGTCAGGTATCTTTCAAAGTCAGTTAGATCCTGAATCCAACAGCATATACAAAGGATTAAATGCTCTGATCAAGTGGCATTCAACCCAGGAATGTAAAGATGATTTAATATTATAAAATGAATTAATATACTACACCATATTAATAGAATAAAGGATAAAAACCACACAATTATCTCAAAGGAGATAGTAAAAATTCTCAATAAACTTGAAAGAGAACTTAGTCAATGTGATAAAGGACATTTATGAAAAACCTACAGCTAATATCATATTTTATTAATTTATTTTTTAAAATTCCAATATAATTAACACATGGTGTTATCTTCATTTCAGGTGTACAACCTAGTGATTCAACAGTTCCATATATTATTCAGTGCTCTTCACGATAAGTGTACTCTTAATTCCCATCTCCTATATCAGCTCCCCTCTGGTAACCACCAGCTTATTCCCTGTATTTGAGAGTCCAGGGTTGTTTTTTTGTTTTAGTTTGGGTTTTTTTGTTCATTTGTTTTGTTTCTAAATTCCACATATGAGTGAAATCATATGGTATTTTTCTTTGACTAACTTATTTCACTTAGCATTATATCCTCTATATCTATCCATGCTGTTGCAACTGGCAAGACTTCATTCTTTTTATGGCTGAATAATATTCCATTTTATATAAATCCCACATCTGTGTTACCCATTCATCTATCAGTGGACATTTGGGTTGCTTCCTTATTTTGGCTATTGTAAATAATACTGCAATAAACATAAATGTGCATATCTCTTTTTGAATTAGTGCTAACATCATACTTAATGGTGAAAAAATAATGCAAGAATGTGTCCAGCTCTTACAACTTCAACATCATACTGGAGATTCTAGCCTGTATAATCACAAGAAAAGGAAAGAAAAGGAAGTAAAACTGTCCTTATTTGCATACAACATGATTCTGTACACAGAAGATTCTAAGGAATATGTACACATCAACACAAATCCCTATTAAAATCAATAAGCAAATTGAGTAAGGTTGTAGACAATATTAATACATGAAAATAACTTTACTTCTATAAATGAGAATGAAAAATCAGGAAAAAATAAAACAATTCCATTCATAGTATTAAGAAGAATAAAATACTTATGAATAAATTAGCAAAAGAAGTGCAAGACTTGCACACTGAAAATTTCAAAACAATTCTGAGGGAAATTAAATATGATCTGAATAAATGGAGAGACATTCCATGTTCAATGATTGGACCACTCAATATTGTTAAAATGGTAGTCCTCCCGAAATTGATCTATAGATTCAACTCAGTGTCCATCAAAATTCTAGCAGGACATTTTTTTTTTTTTTGCAGAAATTAACAAGCTGTATCTAAAAAGTATATGGAAATCCAAAAGACACAGAATAGCCAAAAAATGTTGAAAAAGAACAAAGCTATTTTTCATTTCCTAATCTTAAAACTTAATATAAGTTGGGGCACCTGGGTGGCCCAGTTGATAGAGCATGTGACTCTTGATCTTGGAGTCATGAGCTCAAGCCCCACATTGGGCACACAGGTTACTTAAAAAACAAAAACAAAAACTAAAGCTATAAAACTTGTAAAGTAAAATAGGAGAAAATGTCAAGACCTTGGGTTTTGCAAAAAAAAATTTAAACACAATTCAAGAAGCATGATCCATTAAAAAATAATTAGTAAATTGGGCTTAATCAAAATTCAAAATTTGGCAGTGAAATTGGGTGAAGAATAATGGGACTGCTCTGCACTATCTTTGCAACTTTCTGTGAACCTTATATTATTTCAAAATTAAAAATTAAAAAACAACTTTGCACTCAAAAGACATCACAAAAAAATGAAAAGACAAGCCATAGAGTAGGAAAATTTCCAAATCAAAATTTATATACAGAATATACAAAGAACTCTTACAACTTAATAAGAAGACAATCCAATTTTTAAATGGGCAAAAGATTTGAATAGATATTTCTCCAAAGATGTACAAAAGCTCACAAGCACATGAAAAGATGCTTAATATCATTAGTCATTAGGGAAATACACATTAAAACCACAATGAGAAACCATTTCCTGTCCACTAGGATGGTTATGATCAGATGAGAGATAATAATAAGTGTCAACAAGGATGTGAAGAAATAGAAATTCTCATACATTGCTGGCGGGAATATGAAGTAGTACAGCCACTTTGAAAAACAGTTTTGCAATTTCTTTTAAGGTTAAATATAGATTTTTCATTGACCCAGAAATTTAATTCCTATATATCTACTCTAGAGAAATAAAAAATGTTCACACAAAATTTGTACATTAACTTTGTAGCACCATTATTTATAATAGTTAAAAAGATAAAAAGTAAAAAAGTTCAGATGTCCATCAAGTGGTGAAGGAATAAGCAAAATGTGATATGTCCGTAATGGAATACCAACATCAAAAAGCAAAAAGTAAAATACAGATACATGCTACAACATGAATAAACTTTAAAAGTATTATGCTAAATTAAAACAGCCAAACTATTTTATTTCTATTTTTATGAAATGTCCAGAAAAGGCAAATCCATAGTGACCGAAAAGTAAATTCATATTTGCCTTAGGGTTCAGGGTTCGGAATGGGGATTAACTGTAAACAAATATGAAGGATCTTATGAGAGAGAAGGAAATGTTCTAAAACTGGATATTGTGATAGTTGTACATGTTGGGGAGGAAAAAAATTTTATTCTATCCTTCAGATTTCTTCTAGCTGGTCTAAGAATTAAACTGATATGAGACATGGGTGCCTAGGTGGGTCAGTCAATTAAGCATCCCACTCTTGACTTTGCCTCAGGTCATGATGTTATGCCCAGGTCGCGATCTCCCCAAAATCCCAAGACCACCAAGGAGCCCGAGTCACGTATGCAAAAGCAAAGGGCGTTTATTCGGGCTTAAGCTCGGGCTCCCAGACCTCACCAACACAGTGGATCCGTACTGAGAGCCCCGAACAAAGGCAGAGTAGGGTTTTTATGGGGTTTGTGACGGGGGAGTTACAGAAATTGTGGCATGGGAACAGTGATCCAATCATAATTATACAACATCATTGACAGCGGGTTTAACCATACACATTGTCTAGAGTATTCGTTACTTTTGACGGGATCCAATTACAACGTTTAGAGTACCTTTAAATTCAACCAATCACAAAGCGAGCCTAGGGTCTTGTTCGGCGACTAACGGGTTATCTTTAACATTAGGTAACAGGGTCCTATCTATAGTTTCTATCTATAGGCCTCTCCCATAGTAATGTGGAGGGTGGTCGCTGGACTTTCCTGATTGGGTGTTGCAAGGATGGTTTCTCCTGCCTTGGGTAATGTGTAACTGCCTGATAGTTTCGGGGAAGCTGAAACTTAGGCCTTCTAGTTTAGAGGGGAACTTAAAGCCTGTCATGGAGTCAGTTTGGTTTAGACTTGTGTCCTTACAATGATCTCACGATCATGAAATTGAGCCCCTCATTGTGCTCCTCACTGGGCACGGAGCCTGCTTAAGATTTTCTCTCCCTCTCCATCTGCCCCTCCCCAATTTGTTCTAAAAAAAAAAAAAAAAAAACTGACATGAGACAGATTAACAAAAGAAAATAAAATTTCACTTCATATGTACAAGGAAATCCACATGGATATGAGATTCTAAAGACAGTCAGGCAAAATGAGGTATATATGTCATCCTGAACCAAGAGAAGGGGCCATGGGTCTGGGACTTCAAAAGGAAGGAAACTAATTCACAGGAAGATGGAAAAAGTAAATGTTTGGTAAACAAATATTTGCTGGGCCATTCAGAAACAATGGGACATAGACATTTTAACAGATTGCTACATTTCTTCCTGTTTATAACCCCTAGTCCATATTATACTGTAGTTATCCATGGTGATAGCTCTCTTCCTGGTGATAGCTCTTTTCCTATATCTAAATTCTTTTTAGACAGTTGGAGGAAGATTCTTCCTGAGTCTTTTGGGCCTTGCTTGTTTTCATTCAAAATAATCTGCATGCCAAAGTGGTACATTTTGGGGTAGCCTGCCCTTGGCCCCTACTCAACTTGGTAAATCTAAATCTAAAACTACAAATCATTGAATCATATACTTAAAATGGACGGATTTATGGTATATAAACTATAACCTCAACAAAGTTATTTTTTAAAAGTCAGTTTGATCTTATTTTTATTTTAACTTAATATAAAAAGTAAGACATATTCATTGCAGAGATTTTAAGCTAAACCCTCAATTGCTGCTGGGCTCCAGAGGTTCCTAATCATGTTTGAGGGTGAGCCTTTTTTTTTTTTTTTAATTTCTAGGAAAGAGAGACAGAGACAGCGTGAGCAGGGGAGGGTCAGAGAGAGAGGGAGGTACAGACTCCGAAACAGGCTCCAGGCTCTGAGCTGGCAGTCAGCACAGAGCCCGACGCGGGGCTCGAACCCATGAACCGCGAGATCGTGACCTAAGCAAAAGTCAGACGCTTAACCGACTAAGC